TTTTAGTGTCTTAAACGTATACATTTTGGTAAATTAGCTTATCGTTGTCAAACATGTAATGCTCTATGTCATACAGGTTGTAAAGAAAATTGTACAACATTATGTTTACCAAATATTAAAACACCAAATCGTGGTGCTGTATCAAAATTTAGTCCACGTGAAACAAATCAATTACAAATACCGGCTTTACTTGTACATTGTATTAATGAAATTGAACAACGTGGTTTACAAGAAATTGGAATTTATCGATTGAATGTGTACGTTATTTTATTAGATATATATATATTTAAATTTGACAGTCATATTTCACAAAAAAAATAAAAAAGTATTAAGTACTGAATGTAACAATTCCTATTGTTTTTACATTATACTACATGTATATTTTGTTCGTACAAACCATGTAAGATTAAAATATGAAACATAGTCTATCTGTTTTGAGATTGAAATAACATCAAAAAGTATCTCATATATTATAACAAAAATGTTTTTTGTTTTTTTCTATGAGAGAACGGATTCAAATTTTGCTGAGTCAATTAATGCTATGTAGTAATGATTTATTTCTTCGTGATGGAATGTGAGATGAGTGCAGTCTTTTGTAAATACTCTTTAATTGATTCTTGAAAACAAAAAAAGTCAATAACTTCAATTGATAAGATCTATTATATGAATTAAGTAAATAATGGAATCAATCATACTATCTATTAATAAAGTCAATATTCTCATATACTTTCTATTCATTACGAATATAATAAAAATTCAATGTAAATATTAATAAACAATATTTCATTTTATTAATGACCTTATTCTTCGAAATAAAGTAATCAATGAATTATTTACCCAATAGTCTATTATAAAAACTCAATCAATTTTAAAAATTTTTGGTTTTGTTTTAGTGTTGAAAGTCAAGTAAAAGAATTAAAAGAACGAATACTTAAATCACGTACAGGTTTATTTGATTTATCACATTATAATGATATACATTTAATTTGTGGTGTTGTTAAAGATTTTCTTCGTTCATTATCTGAATCATTATTAACAGATACATTATGGAAATCATTTTCTAATGTTATTGATGAAGAATCTTATTTAATAAAACAACAAAAATTTGATTTACTTATTCAACAATTACCAAAACCAAATCGTGATACATTAGCATTTATTATTCTTCATTTACAACGTGTTTCTACATCACCACTTTGTCGAATGCCTATAATTAATTTAAGTCGAACAATGGTAAAATTTATGTTTTAAATAAATAAAAAAATCGAATGTTTTCTTTTTTTTTTAAGGGTCCAGCTGTTATTGGTTATTCATCAAAACATATATCAAATATTGATCTTGTTGGTGAAACATATCAACAAACAAGAATTCTTGAATTTTTTCTTAATATGCCATCGAATTATTGGAGTAAATTTCTTGAAACTAATATAACATCAACATCAATGAATAAACAACAAATTGGTACACCTATTCTCATTCGTGAACATTATTATCAAACTACACCTAAAATAAATTATCCAACTCCGTCAAATACATTTTTTTCTCCAATTTAAATTAATTTTAATCTATTTTATAATATTTGATTGAATTCATCTTATTAAGTATTTTTTTTTCTTCTTCTTTCTTATCGATATGTTTGTTGAACTACAAAATAAAATAAACTAACGAATTATATTGCAATAAAACTTAATAGAAATATATATTTCAATTTAAAAACTTTAAACAGAAACATTCCGTTACTGATCAAACTGTAAAAATCATATTCATATTCAGTATATATATATATATATATATCATTCAACACTATAGTGAATACGAAACAACAAAATTAATGTATAGTTCTTATATGATTATAGTTTTGTTGTTCATACTTGTGTTTCATTATCATAATGATGAATTTCAAAAAAAAAAAACAAAATCATGCTTATTAGTCAATTTTTTTATTAGTATAGAATATCAATGTAATTGTTAAAACATATATAATATAGTAATGAAATAGAATTAAAATTTTTAAATAGAAATATTAAATATATGAAAGATACTACAGGCAATAAAAATTTAATAACATGATAATATTATGTCCTGTAGCTTATTTACTTTCTTTAAAGTTTTGTTAATATCATCTCTATTATTAAAATAATGATTATACATTTTTCTTCTTTCTTTTTCTATAATTAAACAAATATTAATTATAATGACAATGAAAACAATCAATTGTTAAAACAATAGTAATAAAAGAATAGAATATACAGTGATATAATAGCAAATATAAAGTGATAGCAATGATCGATCCATCACTCTTCTACACGGATGTTTTTTCTTCTTTTTTTTTTTTGTTTCCTTTATCTTTCTCTCTAGTTTTTTTCCTTTTAGTTTGTATTCATAACTTACTAGTATTGGTTATTTAACATATTTGTCAGCACTAGTACATCTTTATTATCAAATATGACTCTCTTCTGTGTGTCAATAAGTAATAGGTCGCTTTCCTTATTATGATTGTTCTATGTCATTCATGAAAAAAAAAAGACAGTCAAAACATCAACGTTATCATAACAGATAAAAAAAACGACATAATCCTCCGTTTTTTTTTTTTCATTTCCTGTTTATCTTCCTGTTTTTCTTTCTCTTATGAGTAGAATCTACTAGTTGATTGATGACATTCAAATCTGACTCGAGTAAAGACGTAGTGATTGAAAAAGCATCGAGAAATGATAGTTCATTAGAAATTCATATTCAGAACAACTAAGAATTATTACTATCTCGTATTGTTTTTTTTTATTTTTAGATAATAATAAGAAAAATAATATTTTTCATCATATAGCAATGAAATATTGATGATATTTAGATATATTTATTAATTTCATTAATAAACATAAACATACAAAAAGAAAACAATATGGATAAATCAACTCATGACAAATTCCTACGATCAAAAATTGATATTATAATTGAACAAAAGGTAATTTATTATATATTTAATTATTCTTGTTTTTTGAAATAATAATTTCTAATAAAACATATTGAAATATTCAAGTTATTTTAACTTCACTTTTTTTTTGTTAGTTATAAATAGACTTCGAAAGGATTTATTTCTTTGAATCTTCATTATATTATGTTTTAAATGCATGACTGAATATCTTGAGGTTGTCCTAGCGATGATTAAATAAAATCTTAGAACAAAATTCTTTTGTATTTGAAGTTTTTGTCTATGATCATAACACTTAGTAAAATAAACAGTCAAGAAAGTGAATTCTTTTTTTTTTAGCATTTCTATGTCTCATTGAAATCTTTTTATAATCAAAAGATGTAATCAAATCGATTAGGACATCTGAAGAGATTTTGTCTTTTAGTAAAAACTCTTTATTATGTATATATAATTGTCTGAAAGCTACAAACTCTACCATTGGGATAATTGATAACCTTAAGACGTAAGAATCAATTTGTATAGATATAAACCATCTTCACAATCATGTATTACTTTCTATCAGATATATTAATAAAATTATACTCAAGAGGAAATCAAGGATGTTTAAATACTAAATTATCTTGACATTTGTCGGAAACTTCTTAATCATTAATTATAAAATAAAATACTTTTTTTTTTTTTATTTCCTGAGTTTTTATGAACTCATTAAAGTTCAAATATGCATAAAAAATTTTTCTTGTGTAAGAAGATCTCGATTTTTTTTTTGTTGTTTGGATAAGAACAAAAAAAAAGAAAGAAAGTCCAATATCATCTGTTCTGGTAAATAAGAATGACATTTTCTTCATAATAAATAATTTTTTGTTCGTGCCATATTTATCTGTCTTATAAGTAAATCAACATATATGAAACATCTATCATTAAGATATACATTTAATCTAACTTCTGTTGTTTTCTCTTTGAATTTTATAATCTTTTTTTCATCTTCATTATATCGAAATTATAAGACTTGTCAATTATGAATATTAAAAATAAAATTGAAATAGAAATATAATCTTGGATTAAAAACTATATATATATATATGCCTTCTAAGTATAGATTTTTTTTGTTGTCTAACTACGTAAATTTATGAGCATATGCATTGCCCGTAAGTAATCATCCCCCGTTTTTTTTCTGCCTTTTTAATATTTCTCATTACAAAAACTGTTTTTTTCATTTTATTCCGTTTTTTTTCAACATTGTCTTCGATTTTTTTTTTCTTCTCGTATCGGATATCATTTGAGCTCGAACAAACAAGCGAATAACGGCATAAGCATCACTATTCATGTTGAATTGTGCTAAGAGGCACGCAATAGTTTAAAGAGAAGAAAAGAAAAAAAGAAAATAGAGAACTATTAGAGCTATAGATGCATATAAGATTTTCTTCCTTCACTCTCTTTTATCGTTCTATTCATCAGTGTTTCAGGCAAGAACATAAGCAAGAATGACAACGTGTACTGAGCCGTTCGAATAAATTTCAACAAGCTTATAGAACAACCCACGCCGCGCCCCTCTCGCATAATTTTTCTTCTTTTTTTTTTGACACACCACCATATACATTTATGCATTTTTATGATTAAGTCATACAAGCGAAAAAAAAGAAAAAAATTTGCAGACATAGATAACATAAGTACGAGAATGTTAGAACATGACTATTTGTATATATGTTGTGTATCAGATTGCGTAGTTACTTCATGAAATATATCTTCACATACGTTTTCAATGACTTTATTTCATCATCTTTGTTTCGTCTCTTATCGTTGTCATATTATAAAGCTGCTTTCTTTTTTTTTTTTTTTTTTTTTCTTCTCTCGATAAAGCGAGAATCTCATTCCAATCACAACACGCTCTCTTGCATCTTTGTCTATATATATAATCACGCTCACCTTTTTTTTTCACTTTTGTCAATAGACATTCACTGTTTCACTAGTAAAAAAAAAAAGAAAGAAATACATTGCTCTTTTTATATATATACATATAAGTTTCAATTCTTATTCGTATTCTAATCGAATATTATGGACGATACTGAGCGAGCAGGATTAATTGCAAAACTTGCAAATGTTCAACCAATTCAAGTGAGTTACTTCAATATTATTATTAGATTTCATTTCTCTAAACATACTTCTTCACATTTATTGTATAGATCGATAAAATAAGATGACATTTTGAGAAGATTTAAGTAAATATTTTCATAGGCAACTATATGCTTAATATTATAAATTATATTTATATGATGAAAAATAATATTAATATAATAAATGCAGAATAACAAGAATAGTATTTTAATATTCTAAAAATGTAAATGAAAATCATTTATCATTTCACATCATTAAAAATATAAGTGTGTATGATTTAATCATTTAAAATAATGTTCTAAATATTTCTAAGTTTTAAAACGAACAACAAAAATTTACTCATCCGTTTATTTTTTTTTTTTTTATTTGTTATATATATCTTTGTGCTTCTAAATATAAATAGCAAAAGTCATTATCAATTGTAAAGAAAGATAAACGAAAAAGAAACCTTCACCTTCTCATATTTGTTACAATAAACTATATTAAAAAAAAAAATGAATTCTATTGAAATTATTTATTTATAAAAAATATAAACGAAAATTTATTTAAGAAGATTTTCAATATTTTTCTTGATTTTATCATAGTCTTTATTTAGAAACATGTAATTCGATCAAATAAACTTGGCCTTGATTATACTGTATGGATTCAAGTAAGTTAAATAATTATTTATTAATATATAATGATAATTATTTTTATTATATTAGGATGAAACCGGCAATAATTCAAAATGCTATGTTATGACTCTACATGATCTTGGTTGTAGTCGTAAGATAAATGAATTAATTTATTTTTGTTTGATAATGATTATTTATTTTGCGGTATAGATTCGATTTTTACTGAATTTGTTTCTCAACCGGAAATGCGTCCACTGTAAATAAACTTATAAATATGGTAATAATCATTTTTTTAATGGATTTTCTTGTTTTTCTAGTAAACAACGAATTGTTTGGTTACATGTTGATTTACCTGGTCAAGAAGATGATGCAAATGTTTTAAATATTGAGTAAATTTTTATAATTTTTAAAGTTTTAATTTTAATATTTGTTATTAAACTATTTGAAGAAGATATCCAAGTTTAGATGATATTGCAAATGAATTAATAAATATTCTTGATCAATTAAATATTCAACAAACAGTTATATTGGGTGAAGGTGCTGGAGCTAATATTGGATGTCGTTTTGCTATTGAACATCCATCACGTGTTCATGGTCTTGTACTTGTTCATCCAACAGGTACAACAGCTGGTTTTATGGAAATGATGAAAGATAAACTTAATAATTGGAAATTAATCAATAAAGGAATGAATCCAGATGCTGAAGCTTATCTTATATGGCATCGATTTGGACGCGTATGTTTACTATTAATCGATTTTGTTATCATTATCTATTATATTCGATTCTCATTATTTTTGTTATAGGATGCAGCTAAGGTATGTCACATTAGTGATTATTTATTTTTTTGATAGTCTCTAATAATTATTCACATAAGATGTTTTTTCTTTTATTTTTTGTACTTAAAGATTAATATGAATATTTCAGTTCAGATATTATTGCCCGCATCAATGAAGAATAAATTATTAAACATCCTAATCTACATAGGAATATAAGAGTCATCTATTGTAAAAAAAAAAAATTTCTCACAGAACTTAATCAGTCATATGAATCAGATGAAAGCGTTAATGCATATATAAATCATGTAAAATAACATGTTATATATGTCATTTTAATAACATCTGACTAGCTGATTAAAAAGAAAAGATGCATGTCTAGAGACGTTCGTGTTATGGATTTTTGTTTAGTCTTAGTTGAGAAAACAAAAAAAAAAATAATTTCCGAAATATTATACACTTTTATTACTTATTTAGTCAATGAATATTAATTTTTTTTTTTTCTTGTATGAATTATGTTTTTTGTGATGACAAAGATCATTCTAGTAATTTTTCAATATTTTAGATTTTGAATTAATATGATTTGAAACTTATAAATCAATATTGAATAAAGAAAATTATTTTTCTTTGATACAAACAAAACAAATTCATTTCCTTTGAAGGAACTATGCGCCATATGTAATCGAAGATTCTCTTTCATAAAATGATTTCTCACTAGTTTGGAAATTTTATGAGGATATTTAGATCAAGATGTGCTTAGTTTTCAAGGTTTTGATCTAAAAAATCGCTTTTGAGATTATTTTAGTTTGTCTTACAACATAGAACTATTTGCTATGATTTCGAAAACTCATAGTGAAAGTATATAAATCACTTTTGAGTCAAGACTATGTACATTATTTAGACTCCAATATACTTTGAATATCTTGAAAATAATTTTTTTGATCTTACCGTAATTTTCCTCAGAGGATATTGATTTTCGAATTTCAACTTAAAACTTTTCATAGGGATAGACTTTAATCAGAATAGGTTTTTTGTAGACAGTCAATGATGGTTTAATCGAGCTGAAATCCATCTTTTTCCATTCTGTTGAAAGAAAAATATTTTCATTTTGCAAAAAACTCACGACACTTTACAATGTCAGCGTACTTCGAACCATCATTGGATACAGCTGTGGTAAAAATGTGTCTTTTTTCAACTGGTAGATTCAATGTTCTTATATATTAGAATGGAAACAAATAAAAACAACTTGTTCTTAAGAAGATCACGACATTGCAGTAGAAAATACTGTATACAAATTCTTTCGAAGATATTGATAGCTTACTTGATTCTACATTATGTAGATAATCTCGAATCAAAAGTGATTTATATTACTTTCAAGTGAAGAAGAGTTAATAAATAAATATAATGAAAAACGTTATAATTTAAAAATGAAAAAAAAGACTTTGTTTTTTTTTTATTATTATTGAATTAGGGTTATATTGATTCACAATTAACTGAATCAAATGTTCGTGAATTTTCCGAAAAACTTTATCAAAAACGAACACCAAAAAATTTAGCTCTATTTTTGGATGCTTTTCTTAAGTATGTAGTAGAAATTACAAAATTTAGTTTTTTAATTAAATTTATGCTATTTCTTTCTTTCTTATAGTCGAACAAATCTTGTTGATAAATTGGACAAATTAACGTAAATTATTTAAACAGAAAACCAAAAAAAACAAATATATATATATATAATTGTAATTTTGTTTTGTTTTACTTTTTAATAGTGTTGATTGTCTAGTTGCTGTTGGTAAAAAAAGTTCTGTATTACATACAACAGAAAAATTCCATGAACGACTACGTACTTCACGTGATAATCCACAAAAAATGGTAAATTCACCATTACTGATTATAGATAATGTTGGCGATATACTTGGCGAAGCAGTAAGATTAAAAAAAACAATAATAACAACATAAGACAATTACTTTGTTTTTTATTTAGCCTGATGTTTTAGCTAAATCAATGCAATTCTTTTTACAAGGAATCGGTTTATGTATATATATATACCAAGTTTTTTTGTTTCTCCTTTTAAAATTTATTAAATTTTTTTTTTTTTTATTTTTATTATTTAGTATCTGGTTTACCAATGGAAGCAGGTTTAGTTGGTTTAGGACGTTTATCACGTTCGATGTCAATGGAAGATGCTGATCGTCCAAGACGAGCTTCTGGAGTTTATGCATCATCACCTGGTACAGCTTCACCACCACTTGTTGGTTCACCACCAAAATAGTCATCATTATCAATATTATTAAACATATATTTACCTTATTTCATTTTTCTTCTTCTTCTTGGTACATTATTTGAGTATAGAATGAGAGTTTTCTTTTGTTTTTGTCTTGTGGGTAGTATATGTGACTTTATATGTGTCCATGTTATGTCAAATGAGAGTTTATGTGATTATGTACGATTTCAATTGAATGACTTTGTGTTTGTCTTATATTATAGTGTTTGTTTTTTGGTTCTATTTACCAGGAAAAATCTAGAAAGTGTAAGCAATGCTTCGGTGCACTACTTATAGAATATAGAAATAAAGGTTTTTGTTTCTTTTTTATTTAAATAAGTAATCAATGATCTGTACTGAAAACAGTTCATCTGAAATGAAGTTTTCTTTCAAATAATGTTATCTCACTTTGTCGATAGAAACAATCGAAATTGAAACCTGTTTATATTTGTACTTATCGACACACGGTAGTATAAATCTATTGTCACCGGAAGCATTCATAACCGAAAACCAATTCGGATTAAATCTGATCAGTTCTATATGGAGACAAAACGGAAATTTGTCTCCACACCCTTCTTTTTATATCTTAAAATCTATTTTTATATATTTAATATGATTAAATTATCTGTTACAAGTGACTACTATGCAATCGAAAAATAAGAAAGATTGATTAATTTACAGATTTGAATTAATACTTTTGTAAAAGTCCTTATAAAATCATTGTGATCATCTTGTTTCTAGTTTAAGCGTAATCTACTATTGATTACTAACATGAACTATGAAATACAAATAATCGGATTAAAGTTTGATATTGAAGAATATTGTTCAATGGTTTGTAAATGAATTTGACAAATATCATATAAACAAAACAATTATTAACTGTTTAGATATCGTGCGAAAACGATATGAAATCATAGTATTGAGAAAAGTTTAATCTTAATTCTTTGAAATTTGTTATTAGGAAAGAATAAATGATGTTTTAATGGTTAAATAAATTTAATATTCTATCTACAGTATAAACATAAAACATTTTTTACTGTAAAACTTATACATTTTTACTTATATTCATAAGATTATTTAATTAAATTTGTAAATAATTAATTTTAATTCTTTGATTTCTCCGTCAACGTAAGAACTTTTTTTTTCTTTGAGTTCAAAGTTTTTCATCTCTTATCTTTTAATTCATTAAATAGAATAAATAATCTTATAGTCTCAGGCAAAGAAAAAAAAAAGATAACATTTTTTTTAATGAATCATATTATATTTTTCTATATGAAAAAATTTATAGTCTCATGAGCCTCGATTCTTTTTTTTTCTAAACATTCAGTGGCTGTTAAAATGCTCGAACCAAGTAGATTTATTTTATGTAATTTATCTTAAAAAAACTCAATGAATTAGAATGATCTGATTTTCGTCTGATTACAACTCAATAGTAGTCAAAAAAGTATCAAATGAATTCAATGGTTTGGTTTAGGTTTTATTAATGATATTATTGTAATATGCCGTTTTTTTTTTCTTTCATCCTTTGAAAATTATTCAACCACTTATTTTTGCAAACAGTTGCATACTCATTCTATATAGTATATTTTATGATTTCATAGAACAACTTATGTTTTGCAAAAGAAGTACCTTTTATCGTTACTTTCTTTTGAGTATAATTTAAAAAAAAAAAAAGGTTTTTTTAACCTATACCGAAGTTTGTTGACCTTTTTTTTATTACATAGTCTGATTCATACATTAAAGAAGATATAATAATTGTTTTAATAACATATATTTATAGGAGATTTTCTTCTTTTTTCTCACAAATATCTTATATTTGAAATTAAAACTAATTATATCAATTAAATTATATATATATATTCTTGTTTTAAATATTATTCTCTATTTACATAGAGATATGACGCACAAATATTAACTATTTAGTAAGACCTGGACTTTGCCTGTGACTGAGGATTATGAAAAGAATCTATAAAATGACATAATTGATTTTACATTCAAATGTAAGAGTTTTATATAGAAAAATAATATTTCTGACAAATCTATTATGTTAAAAACAATTTTTGTAGATTTTATTTAACACTTGAATGAAACCATAAAAGAATGTCTATCGATAATTGATTTATACATAGAAGATAATGAACATAATTCTTCAACAGCAGATGTACCATAATGAATTACACTAGAATATTTTCATTTATCTATTCATATGGTCTTTTAGAGAATAAGACTTTGCAATTAAACTTTAATTTAAAAAGTTTTTGCAAAAATCAAAATAATGAATGCTTTTAATTGGTTGTTAATTCATCGGAGAAAAAAACTTGAATATTCGAAATTAAGTCAACCAGATAGAGAAGAAAATTTTCTATTTCCTGATATAAATTGTTTTTTTTTTTAAAGATTTATTTTAATATAACTGTTTACTTTTGAAAAATACGAGCAACAATGCGTTGTAATCAAAACATATGTTGCTATGATAGTTCTACTATTTGACAATAGCTAATAAGGATTATAGAAATCTAAATATTTGTCAGATATGGAATGTGTGGATGTAGAGACGTATGTCTTCTTTGTTCTTCTATTTTCACACTCTTATTATCAAGTAAATAATAACTTATACATTTTTCAAGTTTTGAATAAGTCAGTATGTTTATCTAAGTTTATCATATAATTTTCAGTATTCTTCATATCGATATATCAAATTGGTTAAACATTATATGAAAACAAAAAAACCATTTGTCAAGTTTTTCCCTGGGAATTTCCATTTATAGTAATATAAAAAAATAACATGATTTTCAAGACCATACTTGAAGAAAAACTACTCTTTACATAGAGCATAATTTATTCTATTAAATCATATATTATAAAGAATATGTCAACTAAGAACAGACATATAATTACCTAGAAAAATAAGTGGAGAGAGAGAGAGCATGCTAAGATTGAATCATCAAAAGATCATTTTAATACTAACTGTATATGTGTAAGAGAGAAATATCATTCAGATGAGAAAATATATGAAGGTAAAGATAAGGAAAAAACAATAAAGAAACATATACAGGTACAGGATGCCTCACAAATAACTAGACGATGAAAAAATATCAACATCTGCAATCTGCTTTAATCAATCTAGCTGTTTTCTCTTTCACGATAGAGAATTTTGCAAAATTTTTATTCATAACAAAATTGTCATATAGATACTATTTTGAATTAAGTAGTACTCTATTAAACTCAATAAAGAAATATTCTATCAGTCAAAAGTATTGCATTCATTCTTAGAACTAAACATATGAAATTATTAGTTTATATACCCCACATTAAAAAATCTAGGTCAATGAAACCAATTTGTATCTTGTTTGTTTGAGTTCAATAGAAGTTATAATTTATAATAACCTTTCTCATAATGAGTTCTATAACTAAAGAAGAGAAGACCATAGTAATTCTATAATTCTATCATTATGTAAATCTTTGAATGCCACTAATTACACTAGAAATTTCATTGAGTGCTATCTCAGTATTCAAAACGTGCCAATCTTTAATTTGATGATAGGGTTGATTAGTTCGTAAGTTGTTTTTCTTATTAAGTTATAGAACTCATTATTTTACGGTCATTACATATGTTTAAAAAAATTTTAAATGCATAACTTGACATCCTAATCATTAAAGATAGCTGAAAAAATTAAATGTTGTTATCGACAAATTATTTATGAACTACCTTATGTGTTATGTAATACACAAAGTATAAAAGAAAACAACGTATTATATAAGTGAATTATCAGAAGAAAAGAAAAACATCATTAGCTGCTTATGTCTTTTGGTGTCATATGTCATGATGAATTAATTAAACGAACATGCAATGATTATATATACACAATATATTCATCATTAAATCTACATGTATATAATTATTTTTCAATCTTTTTGTTTTAACTACTCTGTCGTTTCTATATTGAAAACAAACAACAGAAGCCAAATTTTATAAGAAATATCGTTTATTAGAATTTTTAAATAAAATAAAATTTGAAAATTATTGAATTTTATTCTTTCATGAAGAATTTAAAAAAAATTATTATTAATTCGATCATTCTGAATATAGTTCTTTGAAAAAATAAATGTAAGTTGAATTGTATTAAAGTATTTATCAGTATACAAAAAGAAAAACACATTATTACTTCTATATATTAATAGATTTCTATTCTATTTTTACAGGAGAAAGAAATTTTTTTTCTTTTTCTTTTATCATAGATGTGAAAAAGCTTGAGCATGTGCGTCATTAATTTTTCACCGTTGTTATGTCGAGAGCATAGTGTTGTCATCCTCGAGTGACGCAGGCAGACCTATATACACATCTGAAACTAAGAGAAAAGAAAGAAATGATGGAAAAGTGAGACATATGATAAACTCACCATTAATTCTTACAGTAACGGCTCAGAGTAATATGACAGATCGTGTCCGACGCATAAAGCGTTACAGATAGAAATAAAGAAAAAAAAAAAAGAAGTCTGCACCTCTTCATTTTTCTATATGTCATTCTATTTTTTCTTTTTTTTTTTTTTTTTTTTTTTTTTTGTTATATAAAAGACAAAAACGTCGTTCTTGTTCTAGCAACATTTTAGAGCTGTTCTTCATCTTCTATTCTTTCTTTGAAAAGTAGAAAGCACGTATGTTGTTGTCGTGCATTTTATTCACATAAGCAATGTGCCGTTGTTAATCGTTCTAATTGCTCAAGACTACTAAATGTACTGATCTTTTCTGCTTTTACTCATTACTGAGAAATACGATCTTCAAGTTAAACATGATGCACAGTGTGATTCGTCGTTCACCAAGGTAAATGTATTAAAGAAGAAAAAAAAAAGAAGTTGTAGCGAATATAAATCTCATTATTGATATAAAATAAAATCGATAGGTAAAAAAGAAAAAAAGAATTATTCATACATTTATTTAGTATAATATCATCAACAGTGGCTGATCCATCAAAAGTAACTGTGCGTATTGAAAGCGCATCAGCAAGTGATTTAAATGTTCAAGATGTTGTTACAACATCATCATCATCTGATGATGATGATTTACAACAACAACAAAGACAACAAAATAATAATGATCGTTTTAATTATCGTATTTCATCTGCAAATAATCGTCGACATACACCATCAATAGGAATTAATAATAATAATAATAATTCTTCTTCTAAACGACAACGTCCTAGCCGTTTAACAACTGATGTAACAAGTTCGACACGTATATCACAAAATCGACCAATAACTGCTGTTTCATTACCAGCTAAACCATCAGCATATGACAATGAATGGGATCTTGATTCTGCACGTGTATTAGTATCATCTGTTCAACGACGAAATCCTTCATGTCCATTAATATCACCAACAAATGTACGTGCACCACCTTCATCACAATCTATATTTACACATCAACTTGTTCCAACTGTATTTACAACTACTTCCGAATGTCTCGGTAGAAAGAATTACAAATAAAAAAAAACAAAAAATATTATTTCATTTTAAATTTAGGTAAAGATTTACGTCCACAACCACGTCGTGATATACCAAGACGTGCACAATCATTAGCTAAATCAGCAACAATTGATAATAATTCAATATCATCAACAACATCAATTGTTTTTCTTACACATGATATATTATTAGGTTCCATACGTGCATTACAAAATGAAAGACAATTATGTAAATTATCTATTGATTATCTTATTGATGCAACTAATATGAGACCTGATGAATTAGCACGTAAAGCAAATGTTGGTGCTCGTCTTCAATGTCATTGTGGTCATACACATTCACGTTGTACATTAACACTTGAATTTGATCAATTATTTCTCCCAACAACATCATCATCATCATCATCATCATTGACAACAATAACAACAACAACAATAGATTATAATAATTTAAATAATAATAAAATACGTGAATTAACTCGTTTACAATTAAGTCAACTATTTTCAGCTGTTAATGGTTTTATATATAAATCTCAACAAGAAGGTAAACGTATACTTATATATGGTTTTGAATTAACACCTAATTCACCATTAGCTGTTATTGCTATACAATATTTAATGTTAAATGATGAACAATTATCATTAAATGAAGCAACAAATCGTATACATCGTTTATTTCCTATTATACCAATACAACATCAAGAATATCCAATAATGGAAAAACGTTTTCAAGATTATTTAAAACAATTAGATAGAAAAAAATTTTCAAAAAATTTTAATATTAATAATATTATGAATGAATACAGTACAAATAATGGAAATGAAAATCGACAAATATCACATGATTTTTCATCAAATTCATCTGAAACAACAACAAATAATACACCAGTGACATCATGGACAACAATTCCAATGTCTTTTGCTAATGATACAACAAATTCATCTCATCATGTATTTTCTGCACGTTCAGCATGGGACAGTTAAAAGAAAAAAAAAAATGAAAATATCTCTCTTGTAATAAAAATATTATTTTGTTAATTATAAAACAAAAAAAAAAAAAAAACAAATTTTGAAAATTATCATTTCTTGATTTTGTTTTTTTGTTTTTCTTCTTCTTGTGAGAAATACTCAAACTAATTAAGTTACCTACATAAAACTTATCATATATGAAGTTATTCTACTACGATAAATTCTAATTAGAACCTTCATAATTCTTAGTAACTCTTTTCTTGACATGTTCCATATGTTAATATAAAACAAAAAAAAACATGAATTATTACACATTTTGAATAAAATAAAATAAAATGATAAAAGATTATATAATCGAATATTTTATAATTTCTTCTACAAAATATATCAAAAAAAAGAAAAAATGAATTCATTCAAAATTAAAAGAAAATATTAATAACTTCAAATGTTTCCTATTGCAAAATTCATATATTCATAGTTGTTATTTTCATATACAATCAATCTTTTATATAGCCTCTTAGAGTTTGACATAGATTATACTATCAAAAGCATGACTAGTAAATATTGCATTTGTTAAATATGTTTATTTATATTTAGATACAAAAAACAAAATTAATAAGAAAAAAAATATTAAATATTTTTTATTTTTCATTTAGAGATTTTTTTTTACTAAATCATGATTATCATTTATAATAAATGACTAGAAAAGAACATATTAAATTTGATACCATTTATTTATTAACAATTAATTAAGTTTGGTAAAAAAAAAAAAAAAGTTTAATATTACTGAAGCTTTTTCAGTAATGAATTATATGAAGATTTAAGATCTGTACGAATAAATAATAAACATACTTTATTTAAAATTTTAATTAAAAAATATTTAATATGTCCTATAAGAACATTTTTCTTTAGTTACATATTAATAGAAGATACTCATAAAAGAAGTTAGTTCATCTGACAAAAAAAAAAGAATAATATTTCAATAAGGATCAGTTAATTTACTGATGTTTCATATAATTTTAGGATGAAATCTGTATCAAATACATATATATATCTAATATAATAAAATAATTTTTATTATAAATGAAAAATTTTGACTATAATAGTCTTTATTACTTTATGAACTTCATGCTGTTACTAATGTAAAGTTCAAGATAAAAATAAGATATTAATTATAATGTATCATGATCCTTAATCATAAAAGGAATAACACTTATACTCATCAATGACATGCACAAAGTACAAGAACAAAATTTATCGTACGTACTCAAGGTTATAAATTTTATAGAAACAATTTAAGTTGAGAACATATCAAAATATACATTCTTCAAATATATGTCAATCTTTACAGATCTTGATTTTCATTCTTAATGTTTTATTCTCGAATGAAAAATTCCAATATGAAATAGGTATGATCGCAAAAAAAAATCATATAGAGAAAAATATGATAATTAGAGGAAATAATAAATCCTTACTTATTATCTTTATACATAGAAATAGTAGGCACTCTTCGTTTAGGTCGATTTTTCTCCCTCAATGATCATAACACTGAGTCATATAATACAGCAATCAGTTGTTTATAGACTTATACAGATGCTATATTCATCGTCTAGGATTAATAAACAAAATCATTGCAGAAAAATTCATAGAACATTCGATGAAAAATATGCTATAGTATAGTTCAAAATGAACATAGAGAGAAAGTGATAGAAAAGTCAAGAATTATCATACATATTTACTATTATCTTCGTATATCATATTGACTTTATGATTTTTTTTGTCAAATAAAATAAAATATGATATAAACAATATAATTCATTTTGTTTTGATAAAAAGATTGAATGGATATGTGATGTGAATGAATTCTCTTTTCTTTTTATATATATTATTTGATATTAAACCATTTCATTTAAATTTAATGTCTGAACAAATATTTTATCAAGATATAAAATGTCACCGGAGTTTGTTTTTGTTCAATAATAATTAATATTAATTAAATCAAAAAAGAGAATTTACTCATGTCAAACTAGGAATGAAATGCTAGCGATGCACTGATTTTACTTACAGCTTTGCACTAGCTTAAACATGCACATATAGACTAATGATGAAAATAGCTGAATTCTATAGAAACAGACTAATAGTTTTTGTAGTCTGAGAGCTTGAATCTATAGAAGCTTTATCGAAATTCCCAAGTTCAATTTTATCGTTCTTATACCAGTACAACGTTGTACTTCAAACAGTTGCCCCGTGGAAGTGAGTGTGGATGAAGAGAATATCCACATCCAAATCAGAAAAAGTAAATTTTATTGGTACACACCAACATGTATCCGAAAGATTTTCTTTGTCCAAAAATGAATCAACAGCTT